TAGTGAGCAACGAGACTTGAATTGAGAACATACATTGACAAGCGAACAATAACACCAGGCTCCGTAACAGAAATAAAGTTTAAAGTAACAGATACATGTCAATAAATAGCGAAAGAAAAATGACCTGTACTGGAGATCTTGGGATAATGTGCATTGTACACAACATTTGCCTTCTCTCCTGGCCATCATGTACGTACAATTTAAAGACGTCTACTCTCAGATCACTTAGTTCGCGAACTTTGACAGGCCAACTTCTATCAAATGGTTCATCTCCAAGAAACCTTAAAACGAAGAAATACATACAAATCTGTTAGTCTCAACGAAGAGTTTACTACTCCCACAACTGTTAGTCGAGTAATGGTCCTAACTGGGAGTAGATGGTGCCATCCAGTGCATCTCTAACAACGGCTTTTTTTTTTTTGTCACGACAAAACGACAGTTTCAGTCAGTGAGAGAAGCATACACTGTGCTGGAAAAACATAGTGTTTACTTTACTACTCATTGGTCAGGCATTAGGCCACATATGTGCCAGGAGCTCTATTTATTTCTGGGCATTACCACTTATCCTCTGTCCCTTATTAGCTGCAATGCAGATGAAAATTGTGCATCCCAGAAGTCGCCCGCCAGAACGATAGGGTGTCCGAAATGCCCAAAGATGAACGGACGAGAAGACCATAATGTGAAAAGTACTATTTCACAAGACCAACTTTAAACGCTAAAACAAAGGTAATAACAGACACCTACACTAAGTAGAGCTCTTCTGTATTTCCACTTTGCTGTAACGAGAATGCCTCTGAAAGAGATACAAACGCCTGATCTTCTTTACAAAGCGGTTCCAGTGAGGTTCCCTGTCCTTGAAAAGGCACAGAATATGTTGAGGTTAAATAGGTATTCACTTTTTCTTTCATGTGAATTGGAAAACAGCTCAGAGTCAGCAGATAGTTGCTCGGTGTCACTTTATCACACAAGCAAGCTAAGAATCCAGCTCGTTGTCCCTGCTCTCTGCTGCACAGATTAGAAGCACGTCTCCTTAGATCATGAGAGGGCCTCCTCGACCACCAGGGCCAAATCCTGAAAGGAAAAGAAAATGATTGTCTGCATATCACAATACCTATCCATTCACCTTGACCGACACGATTAACAGCTTGTAGACCCGTCCTCTAACCTTCCTTCCGGAGGAATTATGTAGGTATCAAGCCAAAGGAGCTTCATCTCCGATGTAGGCGCATCTTGAAAAAAGTAAGCCAGGATTTTTCAAGTTTGGCACTCGTGATCGTCTCAATCATTCCAGACTTAACCGTCATTCTTCATTTTTATTTTGATATTAAAATTTTCCTGCTATTTATTCAGCAATTGTTCTTTTAAAGTTTCCTCCGACCAAACAATAGTGTTTAGATGGTGAAAAGTTATCTAGAGAATGAGTGATATCTCAGAACATAGCTCCCTCAAGACAGGTAATGTATTTAATCTATACGGACTAGAGATATAAAACAGTCCTTTACTTACCGACAGAAATGCCTCACTTGAAATGTCATTATTCCATCTGTAAGAACTGGCGGCATCATTAACAGAACCGTACTTTCAGTCCATTCTCGTGATTTTTCTCTTGAATTGTGCAATATCTTCCACTCTCCAGAACGTAGGTCTTCCAATTCTCTCTTTCCTTGAAAGAATGTAAGAGGAATTGTGATTTTTGCTGGTTCCAAAAGTTCAACATTGTGAGAAGATGATACGTGAAGGACTGGACCAACTAACATTCCATCTCCGTTAAGGCCAATGCTTGGAGGCTCTTGGACCTTGAGTTTGATCAAAAGGCAATGATGTCATCAATAAACATTCATACCAATATAGCTTGATCTCACTGTTGCGTACTTAGTTACTCCACATAGATTAATAGTTCTAGTCGCTTCATGTTATACATGTAGGAGTTGCATCTAGGACAAGCCGTTTGGCTCCTTTTAGTTTAGTCACGCAGACGCTCGTTGGGCCCGTCATACACTCTTCCAAACCAACGAACGATGTTCGTGGGGAAGGACGATTGCGTGACGAGCCCAAAGAGTGTCTACGAAGGAAGCTACTTCTAGTGATCCCCATGCCACAGAAAAAAATAGGTTGACGGACCGTTTGAAACTAATGGTCATATCGTACAAAATATGTAATGCTGGATAGCAAACTACGTAGTTCGGCATCCAAAAACAAAGCCACTTTGTCTAGGTACAGACAAGCTTACATTTTGCTTGTTTCGATGTCCCAGTACGAAGCTTTTTCTTCAGCATGAGGATTTCGTGTGATGTCATCGTTGGTTGACAAAGGCCCATTTTTTTTCAAAAGATTACCTACATGTATGATTAAAGACACGAGTAGACTGCATATCAACACTCCTTTATTAGATCGGACCCGGGGGGATGGACTTCCATATAGAAAGGACAGGGGTGCTTGTCGGAGATTTTGAAAAGAACCCCTCAGAGGTACCAAGATCCTGTTTTGCGGGTGCGGCTTGAATTTTTTTTTCACCAAAACATAACATTAAATTATCTCCTGTCATATTTTTTCTGCAAAAGCTCCCGCTGTGGAACTTTTGAAGGTGAACTTAAGCTTTTTTCACCCCCAAAAGGTGCAACGAGCACCCCCGTCCTTTTCATGTGGGAGTCCCCCCTGGGGGTTCGGAATCTACTAAATAGAGATATTTGTAGCAGAAAAATGTAGTTTTACCCCGAAGCTACGAACATCTGTACCTTTAGTGTCAAACAGAAGTCTTCTATGGCAGGCACAGAACTCCAAGGGATTGAAACACTGACATCTGGATAGTCTGGCACTGTACAAGTAAATTCAGCAGTGACAGTCTTAGGCTTCCGGAAAATGAACGTTTTGAGGCGCCAGATTGCGGCAAAGGAGGAATAACGTGTTATTGTGCATGCAGCTTCAGCAACTGGAAAAAGCCAGTGAGGAAGGGTGGACTTAGCTGCAATATAATTATGTCACAATTATTTTTAATTAGGTAATAGTTGGAAGAAAATGCGCTCGCTGATTGGCTTAAAATCGCGCAATATACATTTGAGAAATGGAAACATGTACCGTGTTTCTATCGAAGTTTAATAGAATTCGACTTGTATACTGATGCAAATGCTGCATTCTGATTAGCTGAGTGATCGAACACTATCGGCCATTAATGTGCCGTGACGGGAGGTCGTCTACAAAATGGCGATGTTTGTTTATTTTCCAAAGTTTTGGAGAAGTGTTTTGATGCAAATGGCAATTATATTCGCAAGAAGATGAAAAGAAGAACGTTCACGGGTTCTTGAAAAAAATTATGCCCGCTCAAACGTGCTGCAATTTCAAATGACAATTCAACATGGGCGATCTCTTCAAGGCATGAAAGTAAGTTTCAGTTAGGATTCTACTAAAACAATTAGATTATTCCTTTCGATTTCAATAAGGTGAAAGTTGATTCGGCCTTTGGCCTCATCACCTAAATCCTCGTGGAAATCTCAAGCTCATAATCTAATTGTTAAATAGAAACACGTGTGGAAGTTTGAGAGAACGGGAAATGCTGTGGGAACACGAGCCGACAGGTGAGTGTTTCCACAGCTTTTTCGAGTTCTCCCAGACTTCCATCAGTGTTTCTATTAAACAATTAGATTATGAGCTCGAGATTTCTATTGCGGGATATTTGACGAGGGCGCAGCCCGAGACAAGTATCACTCATAGAAATCGAGAGCGAATAATCTAATTGCTTTAGTATTAATCTACTAGTTGTTCAAAACGTTGTCTAAATCCTCTTCATAGACACCTCGAAAACGCAAAGAAGCGGCCCTCATTTTGTTTCCAAGCGCACACTGCCACGCTACTCACCATATATAACAGAACAGACAGTGAGTAGCGTAGCCAACCAGAGAACGGCATGATAGAATTGTTACCACGCTGATTGTTCCCTCGTTTGAAGGAGGTGAAATAAAATGGGGTCAGAAAAGAAAGCTAGGGTCGATCCACGAGCCAGTGAGGGGAATTTGAGTTGGACCGAGATGACAAAGTTGAACTTTTGCTAGGAGTTGTCCTTGCATTTTCTTCTCAAAAGGATTAGAAATATGGCATTACTCATTATAAAATTGATTGCCTGTACCTGTAACAGAATGATGCAACCACCGACCGCAATCGATGTGACCACCAGGTCCACCATTTTGGTTATATCGCAAACTCAAAAGATCACAGGCGAAAAATTATCCGGATTCTTTCTTTCGAATCGTTTACATAATAAAGCTTTCCAGATCCAAAAGTTGTCGGAGTTAAAGTTCCCACTAAATAATTTCTGGATTCAAAATCTCCGGAGACACGACCACACCACGCAGTTTTAATTTTATTTTGGACTCGTCCACTTGCGTGTAGACGGCAAAATCAATCCGGTGCTAAAACGTTCCGAATTCGTCACGAGGCGGGAACAATTTCCTCCAGTTTAAACCTAGCATGTAAGCCATGCTGCACAACTCGCATTTTATTACTATTTAAAAAAGTGAGGAAGGAATCCCAGTGAATGACTATTCAAAAGAAGCTATGAAGCCACACATCTCTATGTGATAATATTTTGTTGTTGTTGTTGTTTTTTCCTCTGTACACGGTGATGTTTACTTTAAGACCTACATGAACATGTATTGATGACACTAACGAGGAAGAGGAACAGAGCTTTTATGTGGATAGTCAAATGTTTATTACGTTTTCCAAGCTATTAAAACGTTCTAGAAAAAGCCATTTTGGCTAGAAGAGTCAATAAAACAAACAATTGTTACGTGTCTTTACTCGATACCTGATGTATGCCAAAAGTTTTCTGTCTCCAAATCTATCCATTCATTGTCTTCCAGGTCAACCAACTGCTTGATAACAACTTCATACCCTTTTAAATTACAGGCACTGTGCATCAAAGCCACAGTAACGCTTTCTTGGGCATCCCCGCTGAACTCCAGGTCAGGTGGACCATCATGTGACAGTTCAATCACGTTGCTTACCAAGACTTCGTTACTGCCAAGGGGTGGAGAGAGGGTCCTGGGACTCCATAATGAGCATGCAATGAGCAATGGTTTCGTGTCAGCTCCACGACAAAATGTAACCGATGCAGGAGCTTCTTGAAGGTTCCAGATATCACCTTCATGCGATACTTCTCCCCTGAAAAATCATAGTGTTATGATAGGTGCAACTACAGTGTTTAAATTTTAAATTGTTACATACATACAGCCATGTAAAACACCCTTCACTATTTGGCATATTGCTTGGTATTGGTATAATCCTCTGTTAGGGAGATATTGACTTTTTGGACGATCTACTTGGCAGATGGATTAAACCCAATGCGAAAAGCACTGTTGCTTGTGTTAACAGTTCCTTGTTAAAAACTCTCTGCCTGGTTTCAGTGAAGACTCAATGGCTTAGGGCATTGTACTTAAGCTTTTGGCACTGGCCAGGTTCGCTGTGCTGGTACCTTAAATAAGTATAATTGATATGTGTAATGTATTTGTAACTTATTTTTCGGATTAGCACAATGAATTTGTTGCTGTTGTTGTTCTTGTTGTTGCTGAGTAAGACGCTTCACTCTCAGATTGTCTCTCAGGTGTATCAATGGGTTCCGCCAAACCTTTTTTTGGTAACCTAAAAATGTATCAAATGCTGGGGACGAGTGGCCTGACGTTGCCTATGCCGACCTAGCAGCACCCCATCCAGGGAATCCTATCCTTGTTCAGTACAGATACAAGGAAAATCTGTAGGGTTATTGCTACTAATTTGGCGCAAGTGCAGACTTCAAATCACCACTTTGCGCATTGGTTCTTCTTTAAAGTGAAGCTCTTCACTGAAGAAATGTTACAACAGATCTAGTCAGTGATACCGTGCATACATGTGCATGTAAGCATACATAAATATTAGTCTGTGGTGCACAGTCTAGAATAATGCAGTTCACACGTGTATTGTATCATCTGGAAAAACGCAATGAACCGAAATTAGTACTTAACAGTAGGACAAAATTGTACCTCTTGATGAGGGTCTTATGGTTAATATGTTGTGAGGTGTCTGTTTCATCGTCTAAATCAACTTCAATCTCTTCCTCTTCCCCTTCTTCACCGTCGTCCTTCTGCTCATATTCGGAAACAATTTGTTTGACAGGGAGGACCACTACATTTTCATTGGCTTAAAAAAAGTCATAAATAGTCTTAAGTATGCTGCAAGCCAGCTTAAAAGCTCATTGATACCAACACTCAAATGTATATGTGCAGTGCCGATGTAACTCTACATACATGCAGAATAATTTGGATTAGATGGACGCCATGTTGACACTATTATTTTTCAGCATTGTGTCACAATGTACTTCTCCTTTCGTCAGGATGAACAATTAACAAACACTGTGACAGTATTAATCACGCTTGGAATTTGTCATAAGAAGGTAGGATAATGTCATTGGCTTTTGCAGTCCTAAGCTTCGCACCGTAATATCACAAAGCCGAAACCGCACCTTACCTCTACCAGAAAACAAAATGCACCACAATTCATGATTAATGTGTAATGATAAAACCCAAGCGCTTGAATTGTTCCTTTTTGGCTGGTACTAAAAATTGTGGCAAAGAAACAAGTGGATAGGCCAAAAATAGTACCCACTTTTGCAAATATCGAAAAAAATATTCCACCTGGATAGTAGTGATATACCGTGCAGTATGCATAGTTCAATTACCTGCAGTTGAATTTACTATAGCATGTAGGAGGCAAAAATGTGACACAGGCAATATTATGTGTCCATTTCAATTATCAATTGACTTACGGTATATTCCCAGATTATATGTCTAACGACTACACTTTTTACTTACTATTATTCCGACTAGAGGGTACAGGTATATGTAGACCCCGTTTACACCCTCGTAATTAATGGTTTATCTGCAAGGGCCAATTTGCGTTGCTACATTCTAGATCAAAATGTTGTAAACTTTGCAATATTTGTTACCATTTGAACGTAACGTGGCCTTTGGTTTCTTCCCATCTTGAAGTGCCTGGAAACAAAATAAAATAAAACTGCAATTAGAGGTGAAAAAACTACTGGTATTCTGTAGAGTGAAACCTATACAGTGATGACAGTGTACATTGCTAGCCTAACCCATACACATGTTGTGTATCATTAAGTGTTCTTCATCATCCCTTCAATTTTCCACAGTGATCAACATCTGAGTTCTTATGCATCATGCACGAGTGTGTAAATTCATCTCCTGCTCAATCCCATGAATATGTCACATTTGTGAAGATGAAATAACGTTTTGCTAATTATTTTGCGTATGACATGGCTTGTACTAATTAACGCCCAATGCGCACGAATCAGAACAACCAATACGAAAGAAGCGAAACTAGCCAGGTCACCAAAAAGAAAACCGAACTAATGGAAACAGTCGTCTGAATAAGTACTCCGGTTAGAATGAGAAATGTTCAGGTAAGCCTGATTACGGTAAGCCTCTAATAATGGTTATCGGTTTCTCCTCCCAAGTTGTTACGGTGGTCTCTTCTAGGTGGTTCAATGATCTCGGCTGCTTCAATTTGGTGGTTTTTGACCTTTTCTGGTCTTTAGTTGTGTTTTTTTTTCCTGTCATTTTAACGGGTTGTGAAAATTGCGGATTTAAACTTGGCATAATTTACAACTATGTGCACTGATACAACACTAGTGTTTTTCAGTTACACCACTTTTCTTACATGAACATAGGTTCACATTTAAATTGATAATTCGCCACTGGCATCTTGTATTTCTACACCCTTAAACTCCTTTAGTATTTGGAAACTTACTTGGTACGCCTCATGGTAACATTTTTCTCTTTCATGATCTCTAATAGATGATGCTAATTTTTTGATGTCACGGAGGAACTTCTTCTTTTCTGGTGCATTCATCTTAGCCTGCCTCACTTCCCATTGTTCCTCTTTAAAAAGGAGTGCTTCTTTACCATATCTTTTGTACATTTCTTCTTTGTTGAGTTCCTTGCATAACTGAAGGATTCCATTGATTGTTTCTTCCTTAGCCAAACCAATTTGCTTCGTCTTCTCTGTATAGGTACTTTTCCCTTCTTCCCACTGCGTCTGCCAAGTAGATAACAGGTTCTTTCGGAATTCGGGAATGTTTTCCTCCTGTCCAGCATATTTGTACAGCTGTTCCACCATGCTTTTGAGTTTTGCTTTGTCATAAGCGTTTTCCTTCTTGCCAATGAAGTCTGGCCTCACGAGGGCCATTTTGTAAAGCGCCAACTTGCTTTCCTGAAGTTTTAAACGTTTCTTATGCTCATCGAGTTCACGACAAAGCTCAATTGACCTCTCCAAGATCTCATCTCTTTCTTTCATCATCTCATTAAGCAGAGTGTTGTCTGTTTCTTGTTCAAAATCCTCTTGAAACTGCTCCTCAGTAACACTCTGCAATCCCTCGTACATGTCCAACAACAAGACGTTCTTTTCTTTTTCGTACTTGTCTGTTTTGTCACCCAGTAAGTATACTATAGCATAAAATATGTCTTTGTTGTACTTGGTGAATCTAAAGTGTTTTGAACTTTTCTGCTCTTTCCAGAAATGCTGACAAAACTTCAAAGCATCGTCCCGAAATTGCTTCTTCTTCTCGCCATTGTTTAATTCATCGCACATCTCCTCGACACGAGTAATGATCAGTCGCCACACCTCGCTGTGGTTCCCTGCACTAAGTGACTTCTCCATCTCCCATGCTGTGAGAAACAACTCTAAGGCTTTCCTGCGGTCCTCCAAGTTTGCCTGAATCATTCCCAGTTGATAAAGGCTTCGCACAGTCTCTGGGTGATTCGCATTAAGTTTCTCCCTTATGCTGTACGCTATCTTTGCTGGTTTCAAGGCGTCGGAATACTTTTCTTGAAACATGAGAGCATTGGCAAGATTTCTACGAAAGAGAGCTTCATCCCAAAATCCTGAGAGTTTGAGTTCATCCAAAAGATATAGAGCCTCGTTGTAACATTCAATCGCCCTATCATACTTTTCCTGACTCTCATACACCGTGCCAATTTGATTCTTGTACACTGGCATGTCAAAGTGATTTTCAGAACCTGCCGATTTCTTTTGCATCTTGTATGCTTCATTGTAGAACTCAAGTGCTTTCTTTGGCTCGCTGAGCTTGAAATGGCAATTCCCAATAGCATTGTAGCACCTTGCAAGATCTGTATGATCTCTAAGCAGCTTCTCTGAAAATGTACGTGACAGTTCCAAGCTTGCTATTGACCTCTTGTAGTCTCTGTTTCTGTAATACGTTTCCCCCTCAGAATACAAGTGAAGTCCTTTGCTAAGCCTGTAAGATTCACTAGCCTTGTCTCGAACTTTTTCTAACGAACAGAATGCTTCGTCCAATATTTCAAAGGCCCTCTCTGTTCCCTCAACATCTAAAACCTGCAGAGCTTCCCGGCATTTTAACTGTGCCCGGAATAAAGAGCCTGTGTAGAAACAAACAAACAAACAAACAAGCAAAAAAAAACTCGTGAATGAAATAATGCTATACGAGAGTGGCCAGCACTACTGAAGCTCATCCTGGTTTTGTGTTTCTCAACGGAATACAGATATTGGGTTCAGTTATTGATTGAGTTAATTCAGGATTACTGTGAGCCTTGAACTCATTCTTGCAAATTTTTAGTAACGTTTTCTACTTAAGTATTTTGTATTACGTTTTTACTTATTCCATTCCGTAAAAACTTACCAAAAAACTTATACTTACTGTTGATTAGTTTAAACAGTGGCCCAGGCAACTGCAAAAGTTTTTACTACTTGAGAAGGCCCGGTGTTTCCAGTGATAAAAAGAAAAAAAAAACAACCTTTTTCTCATTTCAAATACTTTGGAACGCGGTGGTATCAGGATGACGCGAAGTAAGCGGGATGAAGGAGAAATTGGTGGTGGGAAGCGCCAGATTCGCAAACTTTATTTCAGATCCTCTATTAAGTTTGGTTACCGAGGTCTTATTATACATGGTGTAGCAAAACCTCACAACTTAATGGG